TCTCTGCCAGGGGCAGCTGGGATGGGGGAAGCAAACCATTCCTGTACCTTGCCTCAGTTTCCCCATGGGGGTGGCTTGCCCTCCCCCAGGAGCTGAGGGACAGGTCGCACACCCTGAAGAGGTGGGACACTGGGGAGACTTTGGGGTGGCCCGAGCGGAGACAGGACACAAGCAGCAAGAGGATGCACAGCCCACCATCCTCCTCCTCCCTGCAGGGAGCTGACGAGGGCCTGGATCCCTTTGCCCTCCCCAGCCCCCCACCCCCGGCACCCAGAGGGGAGGGGGCCAATGCTGATAACTCTAAGCACACGATTATTGAGACTTGCCCTTGTAGCAGGGTTGGTTTTCTTCCCCTGTAATAAATCAGTAATTCTCTGCTAAGACCATTAAGATCTCCATTCATTAAGCTGCACTCCCCTTTTACCCTCCCAAAAATCCACCCCTGAGCCTGGCGACACCCTCACTTTGCACTGGGGAGAAGCAAGGCCAGAAGCAGGGGATGCTCTTCCCACCAGCGTGGTATGAATTTAATCGTGACATATATACAGGGCTGCCAGGATTACCGCCACCCTTTCGTACAGAATTATCCACAAAACCTTCCAGAGCGCGCTGGCAAGAGCTCCAGCCTGGACAGACGCCGTGCAGAACTCTTCTTCACAAACTTCTCTCTCTCCAGAGAAGGTTTTCAAGGAACAGCCCGAGAATCAAACGTAATTTTAATTCTCATTCTGTGCTACCAGCACAGCTTATAGCCCGCAGTCGTGCGCTCGAGCAGGCTGCAGCAACACCCAAGCGCACTCTTCGCCCTCTGGAGCTCTGTATTTAACAAGGAGCCACCAGATTTCCCGCCAGCAAGGGCTGGGGAGGTCTGCAAAGCAGCTGGCAGCTTGTCCAAATGTGCCCCCCCAGTCAGAGAGGGATCCCCCTGCTTTGCTGACCATCACCAGCACGAAGAGCAGAGTTATGCAGGCGGCAGCGTCGCGCTCGTGTACAGACCGAGGTAACGGCAACTCTTTCCGAGTCACTCCGCTGCCAGGACAGCAGTGAGACAACACGAATTTGTTTTATTTTCTTTAAATCTTCTTGGATTAAAAGCTACACCAAACCCTTCCCTAGAATAAATACCATTGTCTTTGGAGAACCAAAGTCAATTCTGCTTCCTTCCACCCACGTTCCTGAAAAAAAGAGATGTATGCGCAGACACACAGACCTTCTCCCTTCCGAAGCTGTCCATGGCCCAGAGCTGGTCAGGCTGCCGGGAGAACCAACCGGGTTCTGAAGAAATGGAGTCAGAGTTCATTTTTTGGATTTTTTTTTTTTTGGCATTCTTAGCGATGGTGACATTAAGACATCCTGAACCACCTCACGACTGAGAGACTTTATTTACATGAAGTCATCTGAATCGTTGCCATCCTGTGGGAAGAAAGACAAATCAGGATCGTTGTGCACAGTAAAACGGAAAATGGTGAAATGGTGCGTCCAGCGGGGTTTCAGAGGTGACATTTATTCTGGTTTCCTGCCATTGCAGTACAAGCACTGTGAAATCAGACCAAAGAGACGGACAACAGCAGCTCTGGAGCGGGAATAGCCCCAAGTGAGGCTGTGTTGGGAAACAGCAGCGGCTACTTGCTGTCCCTTCGTCGCTTCCCCAAACCTGCAGCCTGCCTGCTGCCACCTGGGAGGAACCAGAGACCGGGCTCCCATCAGCAGCCTCGGGGATCATCCCCGCATCACAAACCATGCTTCTTTCCAGCTCGGGAGAAGGAAAGCAGTGTGGCATTGTGTGGGGGTCAGGTGCTGAGAGGAGGGGACCTCCTGCACGGCGTTTCTCCCACAAATCTCCCTGACAAGTGTCACCGCTCGGGCGCAGCCTTCTTGTGCGAGTCAGGAGACGCTCACACTTCACCCAGGTCAAGTTTCACGGGGGATCTGCATGCCAACAGGAGGAAAATCCAGAATTCTTGAACACCACGCACTCCTCTAAGCAGTTAGTCAGGGATTAGGATGCAAAAGGTGGATTTTACACTGAGGGTCACCCAGAGAAGCTGCAGGATCTGCTTGCCCCAGGTCCCACCAAGGAGGAAGCTGCAGACACGTCAGAGCTCAGGCAAAGCACGGGCGCATCCAGGGCACACCAGGACCTCTGCTGACCTTCAGCCCCAGCCCTCCTCTCATCCACACCCCGTTTCCCTCCTGCTGGCCTGCTCCCCTCTCCACTTTGGCTCCTTTTCCGCTGTCAGACTGCAGCTGTGTTATACCGCTTCTGTCCCGGGGTGCCACCTCCTTGCTCTCTGCAGGCACATCCCTGCAAGCTTCCTCTTCTGCCCCTCATCCCTCCCCACACCACTGTCCTTACACCTCCAGCTTCTCTCCTGTGCAAAATAATCGAATCCTAGAATGGTTTGGGTTGGAAGGGACCTTAAAGATCATCTAGTTCCAACCCCCCTGACACAGGCAGGGACACCAAATGTGCATTTCCCCCCTCCCTTGAAGTAACAAGATGGCAAATGCAGGTCGTGGTTGCCACTGGGAAGATCTCTGCTCACGAGCCAGGTTATGGCCAAACAGTTCACAGAGAGTCTTTCCTGAGGGTGGGAAGGGGACCGGGAGGACTTTGCAGACATTTCCAGCCCTACAGGCTCCACCCGGCTGACACACAAGCAGCAGGGTGCTCTCGGAAAGCGGAGGAGAGTGGCAATGTCCTTCACCGAAAAGGGGTGAGGGAGATGCGCTCTGTCATGCAGGAGTCACCAGAACTAGACTGCAATGCAGGAGCCGTACCGTCCCGGCCCCGTATTGAATTTCAGACGGCTCTGAAAGGTCTCTGTGGGCATCAGTCGGCTCCTACCTGATTGGAGGACATGTTCTCAGCCTTCATCAACGACGAGTAGCTCCTGGAAGAGAAAATTACATTATCTTACACGATACGTTTTCCAAACCCACCAACAGAGAGGCGTTTTGATAAAACAGGACCTAGTACCAGAAAAACAAATTTTTTGCCTTTCTGAAGTCAGGCAGGCTGGAGCAGTTTTTGCTTATCTCATATTATTTGGCTAATTAAAACAACCGGAAAAATCCCAGGCGCTATGCAGACAGCTTCTCCACAGCTTTGTTCAGGAACAACCAGAATCAGCCCAGGAGGTAGAAAATCCTTTCCTTTGGGGGGTGGCCAAGAGGCAGCTCTGGAGAAGGTTAAATAAGCAGGCAGGCCCCTTACCCCGCAGCACCGACACGCCTGCTGGTGCCTTCTCCTCAGCTGAGTTTGCTTCTCTGAGCCCTTTTTTCTGACCTCTCCATGTGTTGAATCATTCAGGAAATCCTGGAGTTTTTCAAATTCTGGTTTCACTGTTGTTTACAGATAAACACGACTTTAAAAGCTTAAAAGTGAGCTTTTGGGGTCAGCCAGCGGATATGGCCAGCGCTGGACGGGGCCGTCAGTACCAAGGAACAAGCTCATACATGCCGCTGCATGTTTGGTCGTCAGATGACAGAAAGGTCAATATGACATTTCAAAAAGCCATCCCTCATTCTGTGTTTAAAGGAGCGGGTGTTTGAGGATTCACACGCGTTTTCGTTAATATCAGTGATGTGAGGAAGCTGAAGAAGCCTAGAGAAGGCTCAGCGCTTTCCAAGGGCCCGGTTTCACCCACGTTAGGGCCAGGTTTCAAAAGACACAGTCCTTTCTTTTAACAAGGGGTTAACATCCAGGATTATTTTAGGAGAAATGGGGAAAATGCATTTATTGTCAAGACAAAGGAAATCACTGGGCCATGCAGACATCTGTGCCAGAGCAGGTCATCTGAACACTGAGTAACGCCAGGCCGCTGCAGAACAGAAACTGCTGACCCATGACTCCCTCCCAGCGCCGATGAAAACTGCACAAGTTTGAAGCTGGCACTACAACTTATAACTCACCTAAGTTCTTCCAGCTCTTTCTTCTTCTTCATCTCTTCCTTCTCCTTCCGCTTCATCTCCTGGATTTGGGCTTTCTTCTCATTTCTCTCCTCTCTGTCTCGAGCTTCCTTCTCAGCAGCCAGGTCTGGGAAGCGTTCCACTTTTGTCTTCTCTAGCCGGTTCAGGATCTCGTTCACCTTCTTCTCCACTGTCAGCATTTTCACCTTTGGAATGCAAAAAACTGTGATCCTTATAAAAGAAATACTTTTTATTCTGGCACTTTCTCAACGGAAAGAAAACACCCTACTTCCACTTTACACATGGATGAATCCCACCAAAAGAGATGCTGAGGAAAATCCCTGCCGCCAAAAAATTGCGTAACAGCAAGAAGAGGCCCGCTCCCAACCCTCAGCAGCACGTAGCTAAAAGGCATGAGCACTGCTAACTGCATAAGCATTACTAATTTCATTTCTTGGCACATGTCTCAACAAAGAGGCCAAGAGACCAGAATCGGTCTCTGCCGATTCCTGAAGAGGTGGCAGGAGGTCTCTGCAGATCGTTTTGGGAAAAAAAGCTCACATGCTGCTTGCTGACTGCAGAATTTTTAGTGTTTCTTGCCCTGATACAGACCTGGTTTAGTCAAATACCTGCATCTCTAGAGAGCCTGCTCTCCCAGCAGCCAAGCTACATAACTACGATTTAAGCACAAGATTATCTGCGGACACTAGGCCAGGCTTGGGAATGGTTTAGTATGTTGGCTTGGCCCTACACCAAAGCTAAGCACCTCTGCCTTTTGTAACAGGTTTAACAAATTCCAAGGGAGCACCAGGATGAGACAGCTTTCGGAGCAGACAGTAAAGCAAACAGCAACAGCCACCTCCAGGACCCCCCACAGCTCACTCGGCACAGCAAGCTCAGGTCCTGAGCCCTTCCAGACGCGTTCTGTGTGAGCTGATCTAAACCCACGGCTCAATGTGGCTCTTCAGCTGTAGCAAGAGGTGATCTCAGTGGTGACAAATTGAAGCGGATAGCACAAACACATGACAGCATTCGGCACCAGCAACGGCTCGCCAGCTACACCGTGCTACCGGCTGGAAACACGCGCTGTACGGGCTACGCTCCGCTACAGGCTGACGCTCAACCACAGATCTCCAGGAGATGTTCAGGCAAGCCCAAACTCACCCCCGGGATCTCTCTGACGCTTCAGGAGTGGATGATTCCCTGGCTTTAGGGCAAATGCTGAAGACAATCCACCCAGCTCCAAACAAGGACACGTTACAGTGTGCCACCACGTCACTGGCTGGCAGCAAACACTTACATCCTTCTGCCTGTGGAAGCCGATCTGCCCCACGTCCATGTCTGCCGTCTTCTTCAGGTTAGTCCACGGCGTGTACACCACGTTGACGTTGTTCATCTTGCAACCTAGGAAGCAGGGGAGAAAGAAAGGAGGGAAATGTTCCAATTCTTTCCCTGCTGAAAGAGGTCTCAAAGTCCTCTGCGCGCGTGGAAACCGGCAGTTATCCTGGTCGCAAACATTACTAGCTAGGCAAGAAAGAAGAAAACAGAGAAGTCCTTCCAGCGTTACAGTGAAACGGAAGAACACCACAACATCATTTTCTGCAGTAACATGAGCGCTGCAGCAGCGTTAACGAACTCCAGATGGAGAGCGTCTCTGCCAGAAGAGCGATTACCATGGAAGGGGGCCCCAAGGTGGTGTTAGAGAAGGGACTGCAAGGCCTCCTTGGCTCAGACAGCAATGTGGAGGCACAAACGGGAATTTCAGAGGTTTAAAATTCCCCCTTACGAAAGTGTAACAGGCAGCCCCAGCAGCTGCGAACATCATCTGCTTCCCGTAAGACCTGCAGGCACAGGCTTCACAGAAAGCACCACAGCAGGAACGTCACAAACGTTTGATCCAAAAAACACACGCTGGTGTGGAGCAGAAACACTCGCCACAAAGACCTCCCAGCGACCTCCCGAGAATCAGTATTACCTTGAATGCTATTCGCCTTCACTAGATGGGCACAGTCTATCAAAACTTCTTTAGGAATGTCATCCACCGTCTGCCCCTGCGACAGAGCAAGGCAACGTGAGCGGCTTGCAGCTGCAGGGACTGAGGAGCACACAAAGGCAGGAAGCAGGGCAGGATGCTCCACACACACAGCCGGCACCGCTACGCTCCACGTGTGACAAGGCTGGAGTCTTCCGCAGCATTTGGAATGAAAGGTTCGAAGCACCGCAAGCAATTTGCACCCTGCTCTTCCCAAAGGTATTCTCCCCGTTTTAGTGGGGTGACGGTTCCTAGGCACGCACTTGGTGCCAAGCCAGAAACTGACTGTTCTGTTGGGCCACGTTAAGCTTCCCACTCCTCCCCACGTTATTTGGTAATGGAGGCACTAAATTCTGTCTGTTACCTGCACCCTCAGGGAGCCCTGCAGACTTCGCACGTGAACAAAGACAGGTACGTGAAGCTCTTATTTGGGTGAGTATTCATGTTTTTAACTATATGTGTCACAGGATTACCTTGTGTAACCGAAGGTACACATGTGCGGAGGAGAGTTTATCCACGTGAAACCTACGGGATTAAAAAAAAAAAAAAAAAAGCACATTTAACAGAGGAGAAGAGATGATGATCTGTTCTGAAAGATTTACGTCCTAACGAGTGACAGAACAGCCACTCCACGGACAACAAAAGTATAGAAATGTTCATGACAAACATGTTTAAAAGCCAGCAAGGGAGTCAGAGCCTATGCTTCAAGAAACCTCAGTCCTTTCAATGGGAGACTGAAAAAAGTAAACCCCCTTTGCCCCCCCCCCCCTTTTTTTTTTAACACTATACTACATGTAGCCAACACTCCCAGCTGTTCATCTCCCTGATGACTGCAGCTGCCCTTCTCCAGACCTTTTCTAACCTGACTGGGTTTTTACCATGATCACCTGTTTCCACCTGTTTTTTAATCCTCTGTCCTGATCAACACTCCAACCCTGCAAACTTCCAAGGACAGAGGAGGGGAACTGATCTCATGGCACCTCCCAACCTTTCTTTACACTATTTTAACATAATTGGACTTTCTCCGTCCTGCTGCAAGATAAGAAAACCCTCCAGCACCAACACAGGAACTCTCCCTTGTACCTCCTGAGCCTCCTTATCCCAATTCCACTGGATCCTCCTTACGCAGAAGCAAGTCTAAAAAGTGCCAGACACTGTTAGGAGAACAATTCCTCTGCAAGAGGACCTAGGATATTTTGTTAAGATAGCACTAGGATACAAAAAAACCAACGTGGATGCTGTCGATGGGAGCTACAAGATAAAAAAGAGATGACTTTCATGGTTCAGGCAAATTGAGGATGAATCTCAAGGTCACTCCTTAATAGCAGCATAGCCAGACCTTAAATTAGGTGATGATAGGGCAAACATGAGACAGAAAATGAATGTGATACTGCTGCAAAAAAGTCTTATTCAGCTGAAGTACAATCTCTGCTGCTAGAAAAGAAAAAATATTCCCTTGCCAGTTCACTGACTGCTGACAAAACATCCTCGACGGGGCATGTTAGATACTCCCTATCCAACCTCCAGTCCTACTGACACCCCAGCTCATCCTGGCAAAGGCCGAGAAGAACGAGCAGGAGCAGAATCCACATGGTGATTCTCGTTAGGAACCATTAGCAAAGGAGAGGGCAGCAACTGCGACACATCTGGTCTGCACAATAGTGCCTGAAAGCAAGCGAACCCCGTCATAAACATCTCACAAAACTTCTTGGTGTGGAAACTTTATGGGTTAACCCAGCCAGCGAAAAAAGCACCAACTGCTGCTAACAGGAGTGGGAAATACCCTTCTTTTGTTTTTCTCTTC